TTTTTGCAGGATGACAATTTATGTAAAAAAAAGTCAGAATAAACTAATAAAAAAATGCAGGACCGAATAGAGTGAAAGGACAGAGATTACAACTAAAAAAAAGGCAGGACAAAATTTTTCGTCCTAGCACCCTAGTTTTTCAACTTTTCCATATAGGGGAGATAACTCGGATAACATTATTTTTTGTCCGTTTTTTTTTTTTTTTTATTTTTTGCCATGGCATTGTCAGTCTGTTTTCGACTTATGAGTTTGAAATCCCTTTGGCATATTTCGTCTCTAATGATGGAATGTGTAGGGACTTTATCTATTTTGTTTTGTAGACAGAAAACGAGTCTCGTGATCCCAATTTTTATTTTTTATTTTCTAGCATTGAGTTTTCCATGTATAGTTTATACAAAATCTGACAATACTGCATAACCTGTAGCTTGCAAAATGCTCTGTGGCCCAAACTTTTTATTATGTTTTTTTCAAAAAAGAATAAACTACATTTTGGCAAATAATTAAAAAAAATCTACCGATTTTAATTTAGAACACACTCATGAAAACTATAAGAGAGAGAGAGAGAGAGAGAGAGAGAGAGAGAGAGAGAGAGAGAGAGAGAGAGAGAACTGTTGACATAAAAAAAACATATCTACAAATTAATCAAAGCAATACCAAAATAATTCATGGACTTTAACAATTTTTACAGATTTTTGATTTTCTTCTTTTTCTTTGAAAACACATATAGATAGAGAGAAGCTGCAAAGAACCAAGAAAATCACTATGGACAAGAAAATAAGTGACGGAAATCATTAATTGGCTTCTTATTATAAGTTATAGGGGTCATTGTCCATTAATGACTTTACCAATTTAAAAAAAAATAAAATATTCTCCGAGTGGATATATACATAAACCTGGGCACTATCTTCTTGGTACTGGAAAAATGGTTGGCACTGCTGTAAATGATGTTTTTTTTTTTAAAGTTGACGATTTAGACTGGAGGCTCTAGGTCAAATTTCATTAGGTTTCATATAGGCTTCATGTATGAACGAAAAGTATACAACAGAATCTACCATACTTTATGTTTGGGTTGGCCCCATGCAGTATTCTTCCACCTATCAATTCTTTTTGTTTTATTTCGTGGAAAAGAAAATTCAAATTTTCAGATACCTCTAACAAGGGGGGGGGGGGGGGGGGGGGGTCACATTCTCATATAGCCCTGACCCTCTCAGTCCTACACTTTACCTTATTATTTGTCATATCAGTTGATCTTTGTTTTTTAAGATTAAGTCTCCAGATTCTTATGTTTTATTTCTTGGAAAACGGGAGTGGTAAATACAAATTCTCCGCTAACTCTTACATAGATGTGATTTTATATGAGTAAAATTTGACCCTCACAGTCATAGGTCTTATAAGCACAATATTATGTTGTATATATTAACACACAACATAGATAAATATTTTCTTAAATATTGTTCATAAAAAAAAGTCTGGTTTTTAATCATAAAAAAAAATCCAAACAAAACATGTAAAATATACGGCAAAACTATATTCAAGTGTAATATATAGCGATGGGTAATTCTTTTTGCTTATGAATTTATGGAAATCTTTCTTTGTATATCATTTTGCCTCCGAACTTGCAAATGAAGAAGAAAAAATCCTGAGGATTTGTCCCTCATTCTTTTCCATAGAATTGCAGTTTCAATTCACATAATTCTGTAATGTTTTACGCATCATTATTGTCTTTCAATTTAACATAAAACGATCTAATATTTGTACTATATTCGAAGTCAACACCAAAAATCTTCAATTCTTCACAAGTATGTGTCATCTTATCATTGTTTTATTTTGACTTTACGTTCTGTTTTTATAACTTAACATTTTACTGTTTCAAGTCAAGACCAAACTACTTCAAATTTACATCGTGTAGTTTCAAGTCAACACATTGTATGATAAGCTTCTCGTGACGTCATAATGATATAACATCGTGCTATCTTAGCTCAACAACACGTACTTTCAACTGTACGTCGTGTAGTTTTGAATGAGCATATTGTATGACAAGCCTATCGTGATATTATTATGATATAACATCGTGCTATCATAGCTCAACATCACATACTTTCAACTGTACGTTGTGTAGTTTTAAATAAGCATATTGTATGGTAAGCCTATCGTGACATTCAAATGATATAACAACATTCTATCTTAGCTTAACATCACCTAGTTTCAACTGAAAATCATGTAGTTTTAAATGAGCATGTCGTGTGGTAAGCCTATCGTGACATTCTAATGATATAACAACGTGCTATCTTAGCTTAACACCACGTACTTTCAGCTGTACGTGGTGTAATTTTAGGTGAGCAAATTGTATAATAAGCCTATCGTGACATTATAATGATATAACATCGTGCTATCTTAGCTGAACAACACGTACTTTTAACTGTACGTCGTGTAGTTTTAAATGAGCATATTGAATGGCAAGCCTATCGTGATATTATTATGATATAAGATATTGCTATCATAGCTCAACATCACGTACTTTCAACTGTACGTCGTGTAGTTTTAAACGAGCATATCGTGTGGTAAGCCTATCGTGACATTCTAATGATATAACAACGTGCTATCTTAGCTTAACATCACGTACTTTCAACTGTACGTTGTGTAGTTTTAAATGAGCAAATTGTATAATAAGCCTATTGTGACATTATAATGATATAACATCGTGCTATCGTAGCTTAGCATTACAAAATTTCAACTGTACGTCCTGTAGTTTCAAGTGAGCATCTTAGCTTAACACGTTGCATCGTGTTGTTATAAGTCAACAAATTGTATGGTAAACCTTTCGTTTCAATATAGTGGTGTAGCATCGTGTTATCTTAACTTAACATCATGTGCTTTCAACTGTGCATCATTGTGTTTTAAATCAACAGATTGCATGATAGACCAATCGTAATATCACAATGATATAACATCGTACTATCTCAGCTCAACATTTATTAATAACAAGTCAGCACCATACATTTTAGCTATTCATTTTATTTGTTATCATAGCTGTCGATGTGGATGACTGAGCAGTATCAATCTGCAAGCTAACATCATGCAACGTCAACTTTACATCATGTACTTTAAACCCAACGTTACGTGTGTTTGGCATATCATCACAACAACGTGACTTATCATTATACTATCACGACTAAAGCACTTGTCATTGCAAGTCAACATTGCGCAAATTCAACTTAGCATATTGTAATTTAGAGTTAGCATTTTGGTGACTCAATTCAACATCACGTTGTCTTAACTTTACATTTTAAGCTTCAGCATAACGTTTTGTAAATCTCTAATATATGACAGCTGAGGCTTTCCATAAATATGCATTAATTGCAAGGAAATGTTATGTTTAGTTCTATTTAAATTTTGACCGTTTCTTTATCCCTTCCACTAAAATAATTCAAATTTACAGTTCTAACTTGATTTAAAAACTGAATAATGTTTTGTGTTTCTCTGTAAAACGAGAGATATCTGAACAATAATTCTTACCAAATTGCAATTTGTAAAATCTAATCAAATTGATCAACTGGTAAACATAACTAGCAAATTGCTATACTCCAACAATTAGTTAGCAGTGCAAGAAATTGATTGATTGATTGTTGTTTAACGCCATTTTCGGCACTATTCGCTATATCGTGGCGGCAATTTCTTATTAGCTGAATATGTTGACTGACCAGTAATACAGTATTGTAATACTACTAAGACTACTCATCCACCAAGGCCCCTGCAGCAGCATGTTTATAAAGAAACTAGACATTTATTAACTATAAGTGGTTGTTGTTGTCTATCTTATGAATATATTAAAAAAAAACCTAGTCGTCATCACATAAGAAATTACGAGATCTATCAAATGAAAGTCTAGGTTATTTCCCTTGAACCATTTTTACTATTTTTCCAAAAAAAGTATATTCTTGAGTGTTTTATTATTCTATATTTTAATTATAACTCACTTCAATTGTCTCCAAAGCAAAATGATGTTTCGAAACGAATTAACAAGGACCGAATACAATGAATTAATTACGATATGGATTTTGCTCACTGTTGAAGGTTCCCATGGGTGATTGGTGAATAGCAATATGGTCATTTCGGTCTTCTTCTGACCTCCGACTGGCAGTAGAACCCTTGGGAAAGAGGGGCATTCGTCTGGCTATGCGGGATGTATACTTACACAGCTATGACGGGTCAGAATGGGAACATTAATTCCGATGCCTCGAGTTGAGAGATTGACGCTCTTTGCACGTTAAGAACCCTTGCAACAACTCTTTGAGGGATCCGTAGGTGGCCTGTTGCAAGACAAACTTTCTGTCCCTATCTATGTTACCCTCATTTCCCAGTGGCAGTCCAAATTTGCCCGACCTTCATCCCAGATGGCCTCTTTTTCAGGACGTACGTATTGTATTTATTGTTAATTATATTTATGCATGTAACAATTACTATTGGCCCTTTAGTAAATACCATTTAATCAATCAGTATTGAAGACTTTGCGTTGACCTATATTTGCATACATCATCGCCATTTTTTCTCTGTTGGATGGTTGTCTCAACCCATATCTCCTTCTTTTGATTGATGATGTAAATAAATTATGAATCTCAGACTTCACATTACCTTACAAGAAGTTAGCTATACTCTCAATTCCCCACCCGATCACATTAATATAACAAAGACATCCATAAGTAAGTATATGTTCAAGTTGCTTTTAATTACTAACTATTAGACATTGCTGACATACTGCATTTTCCTGTAGCTGTTCGAAACATTGTAAACATTTTCCTGTAGCTGTTAGATGCATTGTAAACATTTCACCAACTGATCAGTTTGTTATAAATTATATAAACAGTGCAATTTGGCATTTTTTTTTTTCATACCTGAATGCAAAGTCAAAACGGCAACACTTACAATCAAGCTACATGTACTGTTATCCCATTAATAATAGAACATAGTAATATTTAATACTTTTTATTTTATCACAGCATTGTTTGAATACATATATACATAATATTGCTACAAAATTAATTCATGGAATGTTATGTACAAATAAAATCACCGCTTTGATAAATACAATTGAAACGCAAGACTTTATTACAGATAACCTTTTTTTTGTCGTTGTAAATATTTCTCTATATTCGTTTCTATGGTAAGTTTAAACTTGTTTATATTGTATCTACAGCAGTTACATCGGCCTCGATTTGGGGTAGTTTCCCGTTATATTCATTCGGAACACTCTTCTCGGCAATTTACTTAATTTTCTAAAGAGTGGATAAATATCATAGTCTATGCTGAGTTTAATGTCTCGAATGTATATGGCGGGAAATTACAGGAGACAAAATTAATCAATAAGAGGTTTATAAAAATTTCTTAAACTGGTTGGAACCTATTTATATAGATTCCACAACTGCATCAAGTGTGTTACGGTATTTCTCCACTTGAGAGAGTTAAATTTTAAGATTTAAAACGCTTTTGAATATTTAAAATTTAACTGTTGAGAGCGGAGAAATACACGAGATATAGTGGTGAAAACTGTTTCTATAAAGATTTTTAGACGATATCTAAACAAAGTTTATCCTTGAAGTTCCTTTTCAAAGATAAGCAGAAAGTTGTGTTCTTTATATGTGACGTCATCAGACATGGTCGCCTTTTTTCATGACGTCACAATAGAAATTTGACGTCATAATTTAATTTGGACCAATCATTTGCTGAGAACAAAGTTTTCTCTAGAGATGAGAAATATTTTTCTCACACTGGTCGAGAAATGTGAAAAAAGTATGAAAATTAGTGAAAAATGAATATATAATTAGCAAAATATAGCTACTACCATTACAACTACTGCAACGAGTGGTACATAAATCGGCTACAAATTGAAGAAAGCTCGATATAACATTGGTCATTCAATTACGAAACATAAAATTTCGTTCAATTTTACCTCTTGATCCTTGGCCATGGTAAAACACTTGTAATGTTTATTCCGATTATAATTTTAAAAAAACTTAAGAAAAAAGTATTTTGAAACGCGATTGTTCGGATAATTTTTGAAAAGCATCCAAATAGTTATAATAATTTTTTTTTTTTATCTGTTTTTATTTGCTATTTTCACAATTATGAACATATCTATCCGTTATGATACATATTATAGCATCCACATAACATAAACAATATTAATCAGTAATTGTACAGATATATCATTACATCTTTTGATACATTGTGCAGATATATCATGATATCTTTTGATACATTGTACAGATATACCATGATATCTTTTGATACATTGTACAGATATAAAATGATATCTTTTGATACATTGTACAGATATATCATGATATCTTTTGATACATTGTACAGATATATCATGATATCTTTTGATACATTGATAAATGAATGAAACCAAGGTTAAGAAAAAACTTTTGACTTGGTTATCGCTTTTATATGTATATAAAAGAAAACATATTGGACGGTTAGACTGAACCACAATGATCAACATAATTACAAGTTTCAAATGTCCCAGTCATTCTCTATAATGTAAATAAACAGTTGTCTTTGAGACAAAACTTGAATTGTTACTAACATTCTATTCGTTACCATGCGTACATCATAGATTATGAATATGACATTCTTGATTAAGTTAATGACTTGGTTACCATGCGTACATCATAGATTATGAATATGACATACTTGAGTTAGTTAATGACTTGGTTACCATGCGTACATCATAGATTATGAATATGACATACTTGATTTAGTTAATGACTTGCTCATAGTTACACAAAATGGCAGGTAACAATGTTAATCTAGCGAAACAAAAAAAAAACACTGCAAAAAATGCCAGACTGGAAAATATCAAAACCCCTCGGGTAAGATTTCCTATCTTCTAAGAATTGGACAAGCCTCGTCGGAGACTGGAAATCAAACATTAGGTTGTCTTGAGTTTTCTTGATCGTGCGTTCTTTTCGGTTGAGAATATTTATATGTCACACATAAATGGCGTAGAGTTAATGAGTTGACGCCTTAGTGGAGTTAATCTATGAGTTAATAACTGACGTCTAAATGGAGTCAAGCCATGAGTTAATGTTTTGACGTCTGAATAGAGTCAACCGTTGTATGATTAAATGTTATTCGAGACAGAGTCTCTTTCAAAAAATGTAATGACAAACCTTCAAAATTTAAGTGTATCGATATGAAAATGTTATTTCGAATTCAGTTATATATATATATCATTGTAAATGTAAGAAAATAAAAATGCAAACACCCTAATCAAAGTGGACATACATTCGTATTTATCAGAGAAAAAACGATCTCGTAAATATTTAGGTTTTCACAGAATGATGTTTAACCTATTCATGACATGTTTTGTAATATTCTGTCAAGTTCGCTGGTATTTTTTATCAGCCTGGCTCCCTTTGGTTTCGTTGTTTTCTCTACCTTGGCTGGAATGCTTTCTCTTGTGACTTTTGGCTTGTGTCCAAGTAAATTTAAAATAGCATCAACGGTTTGAAATAGTTCGTTTTCAAAATTGTTCATTCGACTGAAAAAAGAAAGAAAGGAAGGACGATGCAAAATAATAAAACTGAAAATTATCTTTAAACTAATATATAATCTATGATATATAAAATCGATTCTTTATACGATTATGAAAAACATATGTACATACCGACCTATTATTACAAAGTTTACAATATACATTGCCTACCTTTCCGGAGCACCTGAGTCCCCCCGCCACTTCCGTTTTTTTTTTGGTAGGGTTCGTGTTGCTCAATCTTTAGTTTTCCCCGTAGTGTTTTATGGACTTTTGCATGTCCGTGCGGTTTTTTTTTTCTTTTGTCATGGTGTTATCTGTTTTCTTTTGATTGCGCATCTTCGTAACTTTTGTCCCCTTTTTTTAATCAGACACTGATCCCCAGTTAACATATTTTATACATTTAAAAAATAAGTATACAACTTTGTTTTCTTCTTTTATATTGTATTCAACTCGGAAGATAATAGTATACAACATATTATGTAAACGATATCCTAATTAAATAATAATATGTTTATTTTTCACCAAAATCTGTTTCATGTTAAGTCTATATTTGTAAAAAAAGGTGTTGATGTATGTGTGAGTTTTTCTTTTCTCTGTTATTTCAAAAGTAGTTTTAAAAAGTATGACAGACTATACATATATCAAATATAATATTCTTTGGTTTTTTTAGAACAGTCAGCGCTGTCGATCATACTGTAGAACCCTTTTCATCGGCCAAAAAAACCTTTTTATGTTTCAACCATTTTCAGCATGAGGACAGTAAATAATGCATAAAAAGGATAAAGTGAATTACTTAGGCATTTTTTAGTTGTACAACAGTGCCTTACTCATGTAAACTAAGGGAGATAAATATGACATACTCATACTCATGAAATCTAATGGGAGATAAATATGACTTACTCCAGTTAACTAAGGGAGTTTAATATGACAAATTAATGTAAACTAAGGGGAGATAAAGATGACTTACCCAAGTAAATCAAGGGGAGATAATAATGACTTACTCATGTAAACTCTCGAGCCTGTGATCAATATCATGTAGGCTCGTGAGGTTGCCCTTGTCAGGGTGTTGCTGGATTTCAAAATCAATATTGGAAAATTTCCATTGTTGGCCGGAACTTGATAATGATTTCGGAGTATAGGAGGCGCTAGATTCTATTGGCGATAACCCATGTTGTGGGGCAAGTCCATTTGTATTAACTTCATAACGAGGCAATCCCTGCGACCTTGACAGAAATGGTTTCTGTTCTTTTAATTTCCTTTCTTTCATCACTTTCCCGGTTACCACACTGAAGAAATTTGTCATTGCCCCTGAAAAATATTTGTTTGAACGTCATCGACAGGTTCATTGACGACTGAATGTGTTTGAGGTAAACACGTTACTCAATAATAGCACACAAAAAAACCAGTCAGTATCAATCTAACGTTTCTCAAATTTACCTGCTTGAGTGAGTATATACTTATTCGATATAACAAATGATATTTGATAAATGAAAACTTTATCAAGAACGCTCAAAGCCGAATATTTGAAATCCAAAGGATCTATAAGAACCGAAACAGTTAAAGAGTATATGAAAAAATGGCCTAAAAATAATAGCCAAATCCATCTAAGATCAACTTTGCCTGAGTGCGTTGAAACCTTAGTTTCTTAATAACTTATTATTTAAACGATAAAGGAGAAGGTCCGGTAAGGGCCAATTTTGGCCTAAAATGTCAGGTACATCTGATGAAAGATTTTTGACATTTTTTAAACAATTAAGTGTCTACTTCAGTCGATTCAATTAGTTTCTGTGAAAGATTTGAACTGATTTTGTCATTAAAGACGCTCAGTTTCAAGCTTAAATGTGAAAAATCTATCAAATATGCCATAAAACGTCACTTTTCAGATGTTTTTTTTCTTGTAAATGTTAGTGGCCGCATTCGTGTTCAGTCTAAACCTTTATATATGTTATGTATTATCATCAAATACAACATACATATAAATATTGAGACTGAACACAAATGCGGCCACTTCTGTTTAGACAAAAACCGCCCAAAAAAAAAAAAGCACATTTGTCAAATGCTAAACTTGTGAAGATTTCAGTAATTTTGCATGAATTAATGAGGTAGTACCTGATGCATGTGCATTTTATTGTCGAAAACAGCCCATATTTGTGTAATAGAAGTATTCTACTTTCAATAAATAGCTAACACTTTTATTTTTAACAAATTTGTAAAACTGCTATATTTTGGGGCCAAAAAGGGGTCTTATCGGGCTTACTCCTTTATAAACGGAAAATTAAAACAGCTGATTTAAAGTCCGGTTATTTCCCTTACACCATAACGTGGCTTCTCTTATTAAAACAATAGCAGCATAAATTACTCTTTAATTAATCTATAAAGAAAATCAAAATCAAACTTCTCTTTAAAATGACTTTTATTGAGCAATCAAGACCACGTTCACGGAGTTCCCTTCGAATTTTTATTTAATAAAAGATAAAATCTAAGGAACTTTAGGCATAAGATAAAATCTAAGGATCTTTACGCGCAAGATAAAATCTAAGGATCTTTACGCGCAAGATAAAATCTAAGGATCTTTACGCGCAAGATAAAATCTAAGGAACTTTAAGCATAAGATAAAATCTAAGGAACTTTAGGCATAAGATAAAATTTATGGGACTTTACGCAGAAGATAAAACCTAAGGAACTTTACGCAGAAGATAAAATCTAAAAAAATTTAGGCATAAGATAAAATCTAAGGAACTTTACGCATAAGATAAAATCTAAGGAACTTTAGGCATAAGATAAAATCTAAGGAACTTTAGGCATAAGATAAAATCTAAGGAACTTTAGGCATAAGATAAAATCTAAGGCACTTTAGGCATAAGATAAAATCTAAGGAACTTTAGGCATAAGATAAAATCTAAGGAACTTTAGGCATAAGATAAAATCTAAGGAACTTTAGGCATAAGATTAAATCTAAGGAACTTTACGCATAAGATAAAATCTAAGGAACTTTATGCATAAGATAAACTTTAAGGAACTTTAGGCATAGATTGTTAAAAAAATCGTTTCAATAAATCAAACATTTGTTTGCGTTATGAGTATATCACCAAACTACTAGAAGAAAGATTGATTTTGCTGGCGACAAAAGGAATAACGAAAAAAGATACAATACTAACCTGCTATTGATTGCATTGAATTTTTTCTGTCTAAATTTTTATCTATATTTTCAGTATCGTCCTCTATGTCAACACACTCTGTAGCTGCTTCCGTTGAAAACTCGAGGATGCCGGGACCCTCATCCTCACTTCCGGAATGATCGACAACACTAACTCTATGACGAATTGCTCGATCACTTCTACGTTGTCGTAAGTTTGTCCTTCCTACTGAAAATAACAGTTATTTGAAGATTTAAACATTTCTACAATACACACATAACTCAAAACTCACTAAAATATAGATTAAGGATGTACACCTGTGAGGAGCCAAACATTTCTAGAATTAAACTTTTTTTCTTAACCTGGTTTTTGGGTTTATATGACTGTAAAAAAATAATTGGTGAAGAAAAAATCATATGGTGGTGCACTTCTTTTTTAGCTACGGCCCTTTAAAAGTGTAACACAATTGTGTTCCATACGTTAATCATCAGGAAGTAACTAAATAAAGCAAATCCGAAACGATTACATGTAACCTTTAGACACTTAATAACAATCTGTACGAATATTATAGACATATACCCTGCAGCCAATAAATGACCATGTCTACTGTGAAATAACATGTATCCGTCAGGGGTTAATTGCATAGTTTGACAATTAACCACAGACTAGTATTACTCCACAACCAGACTACTACGTAACCGGCCTACAGCTATGGACCGTTTGTATGGACCACTGAACTATATAAGATCCAGCTTTGGACTCGAACGGCAGATAGATTCGTACAGATAGATTCGTACAGATAGATTCCGACAGGAGATTCCGCCAAGGTCTCCCCCTTGTGGGTAGGCTGGAACTAATGCACTAATATCCGAATGTACTCCATCAGGACTGAACGGTTATACCACTATACGATCACGTGTCCGTGTGAAGATAAGAACATTCGAACAATTCAACTTTACAGACAGTTGTGAACAATCTAACATTTGAACTTTAGAAACAGTCTTAACTTTGTAATTACATAATAAAAATTATTTATCCACTTACTGACTTCGTTACAAGTCGTAAAATTGATGCCGTTTAGACCAGGATCGACTTGGATTGGCTAAAACAACGCAAAGGAATATAAAACGTAAGAACTAAGTTACTTTCATTTTTTTCTTTATGGACAATCAAGATATTTCTATGTCAGTGTAAAAAGTAGAAATGGCTTTTCAAGGGATGGCACACATGTTAAGTACAGTTTTTAATTTTAAAGGGAGTGAGGCCGTATATTTAAAAGGCTTAAAATCAGAAGTTTGTTCACGAGCTGTGGTTCGCACGAAATTTTTTATCAGTATTTTTAGATATTGTACGTCAATTTAAGAATTATGAATACACATATTCTTAAAACAATTGAAGATATTTTTTTTAGTTATTTTTATATGCAGTTATTTAATAGATAGGATACGTTATATATAATAAGTATGATTCTTAAAAATAAATTTTTTTTTTAAGTTTGAAGAAGCTAGTTTTTCGTTTAGAGTAAATATGTAATAAAAAAAAGTAAAATGTCTGATACTATAGCATTTTTTCGTATTTATGGTTTTTGATCATATATATTATGGGTTGTTTTCTTGAAGATACATTCAATTATTCTAGAAAATATATATCTGACGTAAAATTAGTAGAGCACCGGTATATATGGAGGTTGATTTAGAACCTTTGGTAGATGAAGTTAAGGGCACATTGTGGTTCATATGTTTGCGATGTTATAGCCATTGACGATTATGGTTTACGCAGTTGGGTAGTGTTTACGCACGTTTGTTTAGAGAAAACAAATAGTCTATAATTTTAGATTCCAACCCCTTCTTCGGATGATTAACATAAGTGATGTTAAGTAATTAAATGGTGCAAGTTGTTTTATGGTGTTAGATTACGCCTTATTTACATAAAATAAATGTTAATAGATAAAGAGAAGTATCTTCAGAAAATAGCACATTAAAGATAAATGTTGATATGTTTTGCCCTAAGGGATTTACAGTATTTTTGTGGTAGATTGATATTTGTAGAAAATGAGACCCACATGAACTTCATGACTAATGACAAACTTTAAGTGAAATAGATAATTGATATTAAAGGAAAACTAGCATTAAAATAAAATTGATTTTTTTTTTATAAACAATTATGAGGATAATTATCAGAAATTAAAATAAGAATAAGAAAATAATCAATTTAGTAGTAAAACAAAAAATGAGTCTAAACAATGGGTTTTGTTCATAAATAAGCATAGAAAAAACTTTAAATTGTTCTGGTTTTTAAGAAATAAGTCAAGTTTAAAAAAAAAAAGAATGAATAAAATCTCAACATATATACATTCAGTCATAATGAAATGTATAAAAATGTTTTGGTTTTTAAGAAATAAGTCAAGTTTAAAAAAAAAAAGAATGAATAAAATCTCAACATATATACATTCAGTCATAATGAAATGTATAAAAAGATAGGCAGTAGGTTGCTGATGTTTTAAAGCAAATTAAAATGATATATATAAAAAAAGAAAGGAAAGATTATGATGAAGAAACTATAAACTTGTTTTGGAAAAATGTAATAGATTAAGGAGAAAGGCATTTTTTTTTTTTCACAACAAGGTGTTGTTGTCAAATAGGAAATATAGAGTCAGTAACAAATTGCGCAAGACGTAGTTAAATTTTATCAATGTAATCTTAAATATTTTTAAGAGTGATGAGAATAAATCTGTGGTGTATTTTTAGCGTTAAGATTGAATAATGAGACACTAAGGTTAAAGAAGTAAAAGTATTACAATTGGTAACAAAGTAACACATATAATTTTTAGTAATTATTTTTATAGGTATCATGTAGGTGTAGGGTTATATAAAATGATCGAATTGAACTTATTTGATTGTAAATTTATAATGATTTTCTTACGCCTTGTGTAAATACATATATTTTTGTTTTTATTATGTAGGATTCTCAAACTTGTAGAAGTTGTATACGACAGTTTCCCACTTTTATTTTTTTTTGTTATAAACAGATAATTCGATATAAAAAAAAGAACGTATTGATTTATATATAGGAATTGTTTTACAAAATGTTGCTAGGCTTGAATAACCCAGCAAACTTAAGGCGAGTGAACAAACTATCAATAATCTGATTGATAAATAAAAAAAAGAAATAAGGGGAAGTTAACAAGTTTAAGTTTTTCCAAATTGAGATAAGTTTATCAGTGGGGTTTAGGTGCGATCTTCATTGGAATAGCCATATTTTTGTACTGTTAATTTGTTCAGAATATATCTTGGTTGGCCAAAAAGAAAGGTGTGAGTTTTGGTTCTAATGCCACGAACAATGGGTACAAAATGGTGTCTACGTGATTGGTTGGGACAGATGTTACTGATTCCAGAGAGATGTCTTCCTCTGCGCCATTGATCAAGGACGAAACTTAACCGAAGGCCGATGTTAACAGCCTCTTAAGAAGGATGAACCAACCAGCTAGATGCGTCAACTACTTTGTAATGGAGATGATGATGACCGACACGTGTACAAAGATGTGTGCCCTTTCCAGCAGTTGATGAACAATATGCTATAATGGTGACGGGAAAAAGTATGCACAATATATACCCAAATCTTGAACTTTATGAATCATATGAACTCCATGTATCCAGATGTTGGATTTGCCGAATTTTATGAACTAGATTTGTGGTGATGGTTACCGGAAACCTTACAATAAACTATTAGAATAACCTACAGGAAGAAAAATACCGTATTTTATTGAACTTTCGTTCTATTTTGGATGGAAGGCATTATGTAACACAATTGTGTTCCATACGTTAATCATCAGGAAGTAACTAAATAAAGCAAATCCGAAACGATTACATGTAACCTTTAGACACTTAATAACAATCTGTACGAATATTATAGACATATACCCTGCAGCCAATAAATGACCATGTCTACTGTGAAATAACATGTATCCGTCAGGGGTTAATTGCATAGTTTGACAATTAACCACAGACTAGTATTACTCCACAACCAGACTACTACGTAACCGGCCTACAGCTATGGACCGTTTGTATGGACCACTGAACTATATAAGATCCAGCTTTGGACTCGAACGGCAGATAGATTCGTACAGATAGATTCGTACAGATAGATTCCGACAGGAGATTCCGCCAAGGTCTCCCCCTTGTGGGTAGGCTGGAATTAATTCACTAACCATCCGAATTACTCAGTCAGGACCGAACAGTTATACCACTATACGATCAGGTGTCCGTGTGACGATATGAACATTCGAACAATTCAACTTTAAAGACAGTTTGTGAACAATCGAACATTTGAACTTTAGAAACAGTCTTAACTTTGTAATTACGTAATAAAAATTATTTATCCACTTACTGACTTCGTTACAAAAGTACACAATTTTTAATGATTTTTCATCAGCTTTTGCCCATTTTTGGGCTACTATCGTGAAAAAAATCACAGTTCTACAATTAAACTTTTTTTCATACTTTCAATAAAGATGAAGTGGACCAATCTGAATAAATTTAACTTAAAAAAACTATAGGTAGGTGTTAATATAAGAAAGTTTTATCATATTTTGATGCTTTTTCGTGTCAAATTTACCATGCTCTCAATTTTGTAAATTTATGATTTTTCTCTGTTTTAAGAACAAAATGCATATTATTTCAACTTCTTTGTTATAAATGATTGAAAAAAATACATATCTTAAAAATTTGAAAAGAAAAAAGTGATATGGGAAGTACATGTTTCTGGTAAAATCATTTCTTGTATCCCTCACCCATTTTTTCAAAAATTTGGCTAAAAAGAATGCCTTGATTGGTAATAAAATTTGAAAAATTGATTACTCAGAAACTACTTATTGTAAATACACAATTTTTCACAGAGTTCAGTTTGATTATGATATTTATTAAATTCATTGCTATTTTCCACTTATATCACATGTTTTGGAAATAATTCCAGAACGAGATTTCAACGAGACTGAAACGTCAGAAGAATACATCCTTAAACTGTAAAATATTAGTGATATGGTCATGTATGAATTAATGCTTTACAAAACTTTGAATTGATCGAAATACGAAGGATTTTCTACCCTTGGACTAGATTACCTGACAAATCCTATCGGAATTTTTGGTCCTCAGTGTTTTTCAACTTCGTGCTTTATTAACTTTTTTATTCGAGCGTCACTAATGAGACTTTTATAGACGAAACACTCGGTTGGCGTAGAAAATTATAAGCCTGGTATTTTTTACTAGTTTTTTTAGCAATGACGTATTATGATTAATATATTTAGAACTTCAATTGCTTTTAACAATTCATGCTATACGGGTTGTTCTAAAAGTTATCGACTGCTCCTTGTTTGACTTTAATTGCTGAACTTTGCGATGGTATTTAATTCACGAATTTTGAAAATGAATTTTACCGTCGATTAACCACAATTTGTTGACTGACTAAATGAACTCATTAGAATGAACACTTAAAATCTTAGACGACCCCCTCCCCCGAAAAAGAGTATCACTTCTTGTGGTGGCCGTTGAATAAGAAGCTCGCACGTTGATAAGTAGTGTGGTACATTGTAAAGAAATTATAGGCAACAGTGTATATCAAACGAAGGAGTTAGCACAACTATTTTGCTGTAGGAGATTCAGCAGCCAGGTACCAATCAAAACATTTCTTGTATGATATTTGTGCCGTTTGATTGCTGCATTTTGTATTGACGTATAACAACATCTTCTTTTATTAGTATGACAATGTAACTGCTGATAAAAGGACAAGGTAACATCAAACTTTTTTTTTCTTTTTCTTTTTCTATGTATATTAATAGCTTTGAAGAGTTTGGACGTTGATGGCATATTTGCTTGTTTCTGTTAACTGTATTTATATATGTTATGGACGGTAGGTGAATAGGAGCTTGACATATTGTGTTGACCCTTATCTATTGTTGGAAACTATATAACGCCCTCTAGATATTATTTTTGTCATTTAGTTGCTATCTCTTTAATATATAACTCAAATTTCCTTTTATTTATTATTTTTATATTTCTTCTAGAAATATTATCTGTCGTTAACTTATTACGTATATTCTATTGATTAGGAGTAAAACGTTTTTTCAATTCCGCATTTTCAAATCTGTCACAGACTTTGTCAGATCTGGACTAGATTACACATAAACCACGTGACCTGAACTTACCCGAGTCCTCAGCATTCCTACGCTTGCATTGTAATCTTGGACGCTTTTGGCGAATAAATCGTAACGTTTCATCTTCCATCTTTGATTTGTATTTTCGTTCTAGAAGTGTTCCCTAAATAAAAATAAACGAGATGTACTATGGGATATTGATACCTAACGACACGTTCAGAGGACGTGTGTATTCAAATCTGATACATCGAGATATACCGTTAATACCGGAATTTAATATCTTTATATGATCTCATTGTTCAAGAAAGAAGTTGAATAGAACATGTGATATACGCGACAACATTTAGAGGCCAACATTTCTTAAATGCCCCTCCCCGGGAAAAGGATAAATGAGAAAAACATTTGCATTCCTTAAATGCTCCTCCCTGGTAAGAGGCTAACTGAGAACACCATTTTCATTTCTTGTTGCCCTTCCCGGTCAAATCTTGAGGCTAACCGAGAAAAACATTTGCATTCCTTTAATGCCCCCTTCCCCCGCTTAGACACTAATTGAGAACAACATTTTTATTCCTTAAATGACCCTCACCGGTTAGAGGCTTATTGAGAACAACATTTTTATTCCTTAAATGACCCTCCCCGGTCAGAAGCTAAATGAGAACAACATTTTCAATCCTTAAATGACCCTCCCCGGTCAGAGGCTAATTGAGAACAACATTTTCATTCCTTAAATGACCCTCCCCGGTCAGAGTCTAATTGAGAACATCATCGTTATCATGCTTCCTATAAACGCTAATTTAATTATAACTTTAAATAGACATTTCATTTATAAACAAAACGGGTGTAATACCTTTACATAGATATACTTACATCTATATTCTTCTGATTACATATAGCATTTTTGTTGTACATAGATCTACATGTACTTACTCTTTTGAGGTCAAAGGTGACTTGGAATTTGATGATGAACTCCTCAGCAAACTCAGGATATGTCTGAAGAATTTCTTTTAAATCTTCCATTTCTATTTTATTAATATCACAGTAAGAGAGGGCTCGGACGAAATATAATGACTTTCCTGACGTACCGGCATTCATATCCGCTCCAAATATATCATCTTTACCTGAAACAAAAAAAATCATGATATTTTATGATATTTGAAACTATTTGTTCATTGTACTGACAAAAATAGAAATAAATATTTATTATCGTTTAATTACTCAAGTTTTTTTTTGTTTATTTTATTTTGGGGGGGGGGGGGGGGGGGGGTAGAAATGACGAGACTTGACATAGTATTTGTTTGCTGAAGTTACATGTTAAATTATTTGAATACTGAAATTTAGTTTTACTATTTCTAGGACATGATGACAATAGACTATTTGATTATTGATTTTCTGTCCAGTAGGTAATATTTCTCGCTTATTCTTACACTTTTAAAACTTTTTACAAAAACTGTGAATTTGAAGAATGTTTAGACTTATTACCTTATGAAGATAAAATAACTGTATGTAGGTTTAGAACTGGATTCACTAGTAAACTACTATAGAAACAAGTAGATAGCTTGGAAATGTTAAGAAAGGAAAGATTCTGTGTACTTTGTAATTCTCGAGAGATAGGTGATGAATTCCACTATATTCTAAATTGTACAGCTCTAACAGCTTTTCTTAAACCTTACTACGCAAGCCGAGTAAATGTTTTGAAATTCGGCAATTTATTTTTTTCCAAAAATATTTAGGTATTGAACAATTTGTGTAAATTAATCAGAAATATCAATGCAGATCTAGAAGTAATTTCTCCAGGTTGATCGTCAATCTCTCATCTCGTTTTGTACAAACTTGTCCTGCGCAGAATCTATATGTTAAAATATCTTTTTTTGTACCATTAGCTTGGTTTCATAAGAAATAAAGAATTTGAATCTGAATCTGAATAAAGTATCATTCTAAACCTTCATAAATATTCAACTATTAAGAATTAAAAACGATTTCTCTTACAATGTCAAAGAATTTTAAGAACCGGGTTTTTTTTTCTACATAATTTAACAACGGCGCTGTTTGCATTTTATTTAAAGAGTTTATAATAATTGAATATGATTTTTTTTTATTAGAAAACACTGTTAGAGTATAATATTGTATTTTAGAATACTAAACATATTGAATTACTTCTGCGAAAACTGTTCATTTCGAAGCGCTTCTTCCTTGTTGTCTAATTGGCAATCATGCCACATGTTCTTATTTTCATGTTACATACATTTTCCATTTACAAATAATGTATGTACACGACTTTTAAAACTTTAAGCATAATATAGCCAAATATGATAAGTTCTGCATTCTTTCTTCAACCTACCTAAAATTGCCATAACAGTGTCTGATTTCATTATCTCTATAGAACCCCGGGCAATAAAGTAAATGGCAGTAAGAATATCACCCGGGTGTATCAGTGTGTCTCCCGGTGGCGCATGCGTTGTTCTGAACTTCATAGATAAGGCACGTAGGCAGCCTGAAATATAAACAAGAAAACACAAGTTAATCTAGGTCTTCATTTAAAGACTGTCATTCATAGACAGAAAACACAATAGAAAAATTAAGAAAGGAATGGTTTAAACTTTCTGATCATTTATACTAGTACCTAGGATGCTGTTCAAATTACGAACATTATCAAGATTTCTTCTTTTCGGGTATTCCATTCAATCTTTTCAGAAAGTACATGAAAAGATATAACTACATGTAAAAATAGATTTTCCGGACTTTATTTAACACCAAGCACGTAACTTTGTTGGTTATACGTCCTTGTTCACAGTACGACAATTTTTCAAACAGTTTCACAAAAATATGAACATGCATAAACGTATCATAATCATGATCATTAACAGCAATCATTTGCCCAGAATCGCATCTTTATTTATCAGATTACTGTAAATCAAAATCATGAAAAGGTCTTTCTCAAGTCCTTTGTCAAATATCTTTTAAATTCTTAAATAATCACATTCCACTAGCTTCAACCTCGTTTTCGATATTGACCATTTAAGTGAAACGAATGTCTTAATTGCTCTTTCAAAATTTTCTAAGTAAATTTAAAATATACATCTACCTCACGCAAAGTCCTTATTTCTTGTCCTTTTTTTATCACTGCTCTACAATTTTTAAACAAGTTTTAGATTCTCAAATATTTTGGCCTCGAGCATCACTGAGACATTTATTGTCGAAATGCACATCTGGTGCAGAAACAATTGATACAGCGAATAACAAGTGTATTCGTTCTAAGCTATCCCCCACTTGCAATTCAAAATATCGGTGAAAGAAAGTAGGTATCTGTCAGATTCAAAAACCTCACACACTCATTCCACGGTTCTCTAAGATAGTTGAGGAATAATACTACAACAGAACAGAACAGATTACTGCCAAGCGGCTGACCAAATATGAATTCAATCTGTTTAGTAATTTCTGAAGAGTGCTTCGAAAATATTTGTTGCACAAACGGTCAATGTGAAACCAATATAGATAGGAGGGGTATAAAATACTTAAAAATATTGACCATGTGATGTTTGAAGTTGTTTGACATTTTTGTATGTCGTAAGAGGTGTCGGGTGTTGGTGGTTGTGTTGTCTGTAGTACTGTCCGATATATTTTGTAATTCCTGTTACCCTTTTCATATGTTACATCATACAAAACCACATGCTTTTATAGCTGACTATACGGGTTTTTCTTCTCATTGTTTAAGGCCGTACGGTGACTTTTACCTGATTATATCTTTGTCCTTTGCACTCTGGTTGATATTTGTCTCATTGGCAATTACTAGTATACTAACTTCATCTCTTTATTATTTATAATAAAAGATTTATTTTTTTCGTCTGAAGTAGTTTCATTCAACTGTCAATATAATTTTTATTTTTTTTTCATATTACATAAGATGTAAGAACCTTGTAATTGGAGATAAATAGATCAAATACATGTATATCTTTAAAACATTTTTTATAATTAGTGTTAAGTATGGGTTGTATGCATTAGACCGCCAGGTTTGACGCCGGATTTTATTATTTTTCAACATAAAATATACAGTCATTGAAATAAATAAAAATAAATCTGTTTTCATCAATTTACGATCTTAACCATGGCGATTAATGATTCATTTTATTATCACATATTCTGCATTCACGTTGAAGAATTACCCCTTCAAGATTGCTAGCAAATATTTTGTATGGATGACGCCATAAGACATACGTAATTAAACTTGGAGATTTAATGAAAACAAAGACATTTTTCATTTTATTTATCCTTTTCCAATCCAATAGCTTCGGCGATCAATCAAAGGACCATTTGTTTAAGGATTCCATAACCTTGGGGTTTTAATTGTGAAAAAGAGATAAATGCATTCATTTGTGTCATTCAGAATACGTGCGGAAATTTCAGCAAAGAGAAGTATTGGATATTAGCCAGATTAGATGAAAAACCTTTTTTTTTTAGAACAATTTTTTTTTAATATGTATGGTTGACAAAATATGATTCTTCTTCTTCTTCTATATATATGTCCTTCCAATTATGGAACACCTCCTCAACGGATATTATCCAGGTGGGGAGTTAATTAAAACTTAAATAGTATGCACTAAAAGTTTTCCACAAATAACTTTAAAAAAATATTTTTGATTCACTGTACACGGATAAAATCTAATATATTTAAGGACTGACAAAAAAATTTGTAGGTAAAGGTTTTAGAAGATTGAACCATTTAAGGCATGGTGACACTACACAAAATAGTTACACATTAAAATGTGACAAAAATAGTGTAACAAAAATACCGAACTCCAAGGTAAATCCAAAAAGTCCATGCATAAAAACTGACAAAGTCAAACGGTAGACTTTATCAACCAAAGGAATGAATAGTAAACAATTGTAAGATATCCGACTTGGTACAGGCATTGCTCGCAGGAGATGGTGGGTTAACCTTAGTTTTATAGCTAGCCAAACCTCTCACTTGTATGACAGTTGTTTATTATAGTCCGTTATATAGACAAAATTGGGTGAGCAAGCCAAACAGACATAATAGGTTAATGTGAAAATAATTTAGATTCAGTAGAAATAACTGTGTAAACATACATCACAGACATACAAGACAATTGACTAAAAAAAAAAACAAACAAAAATACAAATAAATCCAACAAGGACGCGAACAAAAAAGTGTTTGTGGACGAAAGTACATACTACGGAAGCGTATTAGCGCAACACAAACTTTTTTTTCATATCTCTTCCTATGTTTGCTTTATAACGCAAACATTTTGATATTAATTATTCATTAAGTTTTGTATATATTTGATTATCAAAAACTATATTGAATATGCATTTTATATCTATTATATAATTTGAAAGCAGTGTTTTGTGAATATCGGCATTTGCATGTCCGTCTGCCAGTAAAATTAGCTTGTGATTTAGTTAACAGAAAGACCATGAACATCCACAAGGCCAAATCATTATCTTAAATATACATATGAATAAGGGAATACGTGTATCTCAATTATACACAAATTAAGAATGATTAATATTTTGTATCGATATTATATAAATTTAATATGAAAATAGATATGGTATTATATAATAGGCAAATTCAATTGAAAGGCGAAGATTTTGAACATCTCTAGATAGAGAAGATCAAAAAAGATTTCAGACAATTGTGAAACTATAAATTCAAATAGACAAAATGATCTTTCGGCTTATTTGGAATTAGAAAATATAATGAATTTTGATGTAAGACATCGTTTGTTGAAATCTGAGAATATGATAAAGATTTTTTCATAAAAAATCCTGGTGTTTTTACTTTCAGTCTAATAAGGTAGCTACATGTATTAAAGATGCTTGGGTAGTAATTTGAAAGTAGAGAACATAAGTATAATAATAAAATATCTTCATCTTATCTTCATTTCAATAAAGTAGCTTGTTTGGATCTAACCAATCTTACACAATGCTCGTACGAGCGCTAACTTTGGAAGTCTATTTAAAATCGGCCATATTAACAGGGTTATTTTTTTATTTTCTTTGGTATAATTTCAATTTACTCAATTTTCTTTGTAATATTCTCCTGTTTGTTATTATACCGTGATATGTGCTAAACACTCCAGCCTTTTACTTTGCACAGGGATAAACTTTAATACATGCAGCCTCCTCCATTTATAATAGATGCTTCCCTTGAAACTTAAATAAGAAATAAGATAACTTCAAAGTTATAACGCAACTGTAAGTGTTATTTCGGAAAGGTTTGCAATATTACGCAAAGGTTTGCAATATTACGCAAAGGTTTGCAATATTACCCAAACGTTTGCAATATTACCCAAAGGTTTGCAATATTACCCAAAGGTTTGCAATATTACGCAAAGGTTTGCAATATTACGCAAAGGTTTGCAATATTACACAAAGCTTTGCAATATTACGCAAAGGTTTGCAATATTACGCAAAGGTTTGCAATATTACACTTAAGGTTTGCAATATTACCCAAAGGTTTGCAATATTACACAAAGGTTTGCAATATATTACACAAAGGTTTGCAATATATTACACAAAGGTTTGCAATAGTACCCAAAGGTTTGCAATATTACACAAAGGTTTGCAATATTACCCAAAGGTTTGAATTATAACGCAAACATAGGAAGAAATATAAAAAAAGTTTGTGTGGCGCTAATACGCTTCCGTAACATACAGTATCCAGTATACACTATTACACCTGCAATTACAAAAGACGTTTTAAAAGCGGGTTGTTGCACTCATGATAATATAAAAATATGATTGCCAATGAGACAAATTTCCTACAGACACCAAATGACAATCCCTCAATCCAGCACAGAAACCTAACCATTGAGCAATACGGACCCAACATTTAATCTGCGTTGAATTCAGATACTTACCAATTTCTGCTGTAAGCGTCATTGTTTGATATTCCGCTGCCAATGTTGATTAATAGAAATACATTTTAAACAGTGAAGTAACTATCAAAATGTCTTTTGATATGTAGATCTAGGGATTTCAACATGGCAAACGGTGAATGTTTTATCATTCCGAACGGTCAATATCAACAAGAGGACCGAACGCTCGAGGTCTGGTAGTGATTATGAGGGTTGCTACAGCATCAATTACAAATTGTAACCTGTACTGTATACTTTTTCATATGTTTAAGAATAATAGTCATACAGGTAATCCAAGCAAGGTTTTGTGATACAGGGAATGCAATAAAGGTTTTGTCTGACAGTGTATGCGATACAGGGTATGCGATACAGGGTATGTGCTTTATTTTATATTTTAAGGTAGGATGTAAAATAAACAGCAATTTACAACTATACTATACCATAAAGTGTTATGTTTTTGTTTTTAAATAATTCCTATCATATATCAGTACCGGATTCAGGGGCGTACAGGGCGTAAGCTACATTATACATTCTGTTCTGATAATTATCATACAAGAAATTAAATTCTAAACCTTTTTATTTTTGAAGATACATGAATGTTTCATTATGAAAA